CTTCCGAACAGTGCCTTTGTGGAAAGGTCAGCAAGCGAGAGGAGAGCTTTCTGCGCAGAGTTTGAAGAGGCAGATTGCTGACGATTGCTTACATCAACTCTGGCTCCTATTACCACCTGCCAGACTGCATCCACCTCTTCTGAATTCATCTTCCCCAGAAGATTTGCGTATTGCTTGTAGAGAGACACCAGCGTATAAACAGCCTGCAAAGGGATGGTTTCACACGATTACGCGACAATCTGTACATCTCTGATGGTGTCTCAGTGTTAACTGGTGTTAATTAGCGAAATTGCTGAATGGTTCCAAAGGTGCTTTGCTCTCAAGTTCACCGCAGCTTTGGAGGCACTGACAGCATCTGCTGTCTGCCTGCAGCAGTGCTGTGGATAGCATCTCTCTATATACTTGCCATACTAATAAGGAGGGAAACTGGAATGCAACGACTTTACTCAAACTGGCACTTATTTATAAAATTAAAACTGTTATCTTGTTGTTTCAGATGTAAATATGGCTCACTCCCTTCTTCTGATGAAACTCAAATTCATGGCCTTAGAAATGGGCACAGAAGGTAAATAAAATACCTAAGAATACAGGGTGCTGTATCCTATTACTTGGTACGCAGGCATCCAGTAAGTGCTAACGAGTTTCTTTAGCCCCAGTTCTGAGACATGCGTCATTTTGGCTTAAGTTCAAGCTCAAAGCAACAGCCTAACAAAGCTACGAATAACTTCTGCATTTGGTGTAGTAGAACAGTGAGCACCACCCCACTGTTTCCTAGGGAGCCAACACTCTCCAAACCCCAACACCTTTTACTAAAATTCATAAAAAAACAAAGTCCATTTTAAGTATGGTTTAACAGGTGTAGTTAGTGCCAAATAATTTAGTATTTCCAGTACTGCCTTGCTAGAAAAGTGTGTAATCTCTCCGCTTACCTTTGTATACTCTGTCAATGCTTCAATCAGTGCGTATGTTGTTTGAGAGAGGAGCGTAGAAGTACTGTCTGTTACCAAGGAAACGGCCCGTTTAATCAAGGCATCGTTACTGAGAGAAACTGAGTTCTGTTTCTGAAAGACAAGACATTTGCATGATCTTTACGCTGACTTTCGTGTGGATGTTGTTAGTAGCAAATAATGGTAAGGAAAAGCACCACTGTTAGTTACATGCTTGGACGACCTAAATCTCACTGCTCTTTTGCCTCTGCAAAACAAGGCAACTGTTCTTGCAAGGTGTTACTGAAGGTAGGCGCTGTCGTTCTCATTTCTCTTCCTTAACAACTACATGGCTGAAACACCTGTGATCCCCAAGAAGGAATACAATTCTGAGGGTAAGTACCAGTTTGTAAAATGCTAACCAAGCGTTTTTGAATATTAAACTGTGTCTAACGAGCGGGTGCTGTATGTATCTCCCTCCCCATGCGTTACCTCCACGACCGGGACAGCACACAAGGCCACTCCCAGCCCCACGCCCACTGTTTGGTGCCATCGTCCGTTCACACCCGAGAGGCAGCGTCTCCTAATGTTGGCCAGAAGAGGGAAGCTTTGTCTGGAAACGAAAGAAACAAAGTTAAGCACAAGAAATAACCAGTGCGTGGTGGGAGACAGGTATCAAAGAGGAAAAGAACACCTAGAAGCTGTTGTAGGTGACCTCGTCTCTACCAAGCTCCTGTAATGCAGCTGCGTAACAGTGAATGAGTAAGTTTGGTTTAAATTCTGTTATATTACTGCACTTTAAGTGCAAGAAAAGACAAACATAGCAACTAGGGCACTGTTAATCCTTTGAGAGAGGAAATGTATCTTACCTGGTAGCAACATACATATTCAATAATACTAAAAAACAAAGTTAAAAGCATGCTTAAAAAGGGTATATGGTACATGCAGGTGAGTGATGTGACTGGTAACAGTTTGCTGCAATCCCGTGACACTTAGGGCCTCCTGTAGTCAGTTTTATTTACACCCAATGTTGTGTAACTGTCGTGGGGTCGGGGCCTGCCACTGAAACACTCGAGCAGAAAAGCAGAAGGAGATATTTCGGAAACTTGCTGTACAACAAGAACACTGCAGGGGCGTTGGACTAGATGACCCCTAGGGGTCCCTTCCAACCCAAACCATTCTATGATTCTATGAAAAGAACTCGTCAGTTTTCCTCCTTCTATGCTGCCTACGTGGGCACACGGCTGTGCTGTGGCACCTGGAGACAGATAAGGTGCGTTATGGCCATTTCTGCGGCACAGGCCGCCGCTCCGGCCGCAGCCGGCTGGATTACATCAGGCAAACAAAGCGGGCACGGAGTCGCAAAGGGCGGTCAGCGGC